CTTGTTTGTTGATGTGTGCTTTGGCTGTGATGTTGTCTGTCAAAATGAGGTGTTGCCTGCGTACCTGGGGGAGGAAGCTGCGCAGGGCCAGGAGAATGGCGTAAAGCTCCAGCCAATTTAGACTGCATGATTGTTCTATTGCAGTCCATCTCCCCTGGGATGAGAGGGATTGGAAGTGGGCACCCCATCCAGATAGGCTGGCATCTGTGGTGATGGTCAGCCTTTGAGGTTCCTTGAAGAAGCAGCCCTTGTTGATGAGTGGTCTTGCCCACCAGAGGAGGGACGTGAGGACCTTGAGCGGGACCCTGACTGGGAACTTGGAATTGCTTCTTCTGGATCTCTGGTACGGGAGCAGGAACCACTGTAGGGATCTGGTATGAAGACGGGCCCAGGGAACAATAGAAATGCATGAGATCATTTTCCCCAATAATTTAGACAATTCCAGTAAGGGCACCCCCTTGCGGTGCCTAATTATCTTAACCAATTTCTGAATACTAAGGAGTCTCTCTGAGGAGAGGTAAACCTTACCTTCCACTGTGTTGATAAGAGCCCCCAGATGGATTATCTGGGTAGAAGGAGATAATTGGCTCTTCTTCCAATTTATGAGGAACCCATGTTCCTGAAGGGAATCTAAGGTGGCCTGGGTGTCCCTTACTGCCTGATTGATAGATGGTGACTGAATCAAAATATCGTCTAAATAGCATTGGAGACGGATGGGGGTGTTTCTGATATGAGCCGCCAGGGCTGCCAGGACCTTGGTAAAAGTCCTGGGGGCGGAAGCCAGTCCGAAGGGAAGGGCCACGTACTCGAAGTGTTCCTTATTGTAACAGAATCTTAGGAATTTGGAATGGGAAGGTTGGATGGTGATGTGTAGGTAAGCTTCTGTTAAGTCTATGGATGTGAGGAAATCTCCTTGCCTAATCCCCAACCGTATAGATTGAAGGGTGTGCATCTTGAACTTGCGGTATGTTAGGAAGTGGTTAAGTCGCTTCAGATCTAAGATGGCCCGCCATCCCCCCGAGTGCTTTGGGACGACAAAAAGGTGGGAATAAAAGCCCCAACCTCACTGGTTGGCCTGGACAGGTTGGATAGCACTTATATTAAGGAGGTGCTGGATGGCGGAAGCCATCAGATTGCGTTTGATTGGGTCTTTGGAGAGGGGGGATGAGATAAAGAAGTTTGGGGGTGGTGGAATGGAACTCAAGGGCAAGGCCAAATCTAACGGTATCCCTGACCCAAGAGTCAGAGGTGGAAGAGTCCCATATACTGGCAAATGACTTTAGGCGCCCGCAAATGGGCATAGAGTCCTTATGTTTATCTGGGATGATGGAAAGGCCTGCCTCTGGACCCCCGAAAAGGCCTTTTATATTGGTTGCCCCCCTACTCCTTTCTCCAGAGTCGGGTCTGTCCTGGAATTGGCCCAGTCTGAAAGAGGGAGGCCTCTGATATCTGGGGGAGAAGGGGGCTTGATAGGAGGGCTGAAAGGAGCTCCTCTGAAAGGGCTGCAGCTGTCTGGAATCTGACCTTCAGGTGAGGGAAGGAAGAAATTTCTTTCTGTTCCTGGTCTCCATGAGTAAGGGGTCCAGGGATGGGCCAAATAGTTTGTCCCGCACTATGGGAGAGGAAGCCAGCTTGGCTTTGTTTTTAAAATCCACCTGCCAGTGTCTGAGCCACAGCAGGCGGCGGGCCTGGATGTGCGATGTAATTGCCCTGGAAGAAAATTTGACAGTATGATAGGTGGCGTCCGCTGAAAACTCAGCTGCAGCGGTGATCTTAGTGATGTACTGGTGAGCTCTGGTGTTAGAAGCCGGGACATGCTGCTTGAGCTGGCGCAACCATAGAATGGAAGACCTAGTAAAGAAAGATGTGGCCATAGCCGATCTTATGGCCCATGCGTCCGAATGGTGGGCCCTGCGCAGGGCCAACCTGGCCCGCTTTTCCTCCGGTTTTAGGGCCTCTAACGCCTCAGTAGGAGTCGAGGAGGATGCCAGGCCTACGATGGGCTCGTCAACCTCGGGGGTGTTCAACAACTTGGGAAATCCGGATCCAGGTTGAAGAAATTTTTTTCATGGTTAGAGGGGGCTGTGGGGACCCCTGCAGACGCAGTTGCTTTTGGACCAGATCTGCGAGGATAGGGGGGGCTGGGATAGTCTCGGCCTCTACCACTGATTGGTTAAAAATGAGGTCTTCGGGTCCTTCCCCAGAAGGGGTAGAGAGGACTGAGGGGGATTGCTTACTCAGACCTGAAATATTTTTGGCCTTATACAATAAAGATTTGAATTGTTGCAGCTTAAAGAGGCCCGCGAAGGCGGGCTGGTCAGGGGTGAGCCCCTCATCCTTGGACATTTCAACATTAAAACAGCATTCTGCACAAACAGAAAAATATCCACCATCCTAAGAAACCCCAAAGACAAAATCGAATTAGAAAACCAAGGAGTATGCGAAATCCCTTGCATGCCTGCCCCACCACATACATTGGACAAACTAACAGAAGAATAAGTGCACGCATTGAAGAACATAAGAACTCAATCAAAAAAGAAGAACTGACCTCTTCCCTGGTCCAACACCTCAAAGCCACAGGACATGAGATTGACTTTAAAAATACCAGAACTATCGCCAAAACCGAACACTTCAACAGCAGAATAATCAGAGAAGCCATAGAGATAGAAAAACGCCCACACAGCATGAATAAACGAGATGACACCTCCCACCTACCAGCCATTTGGAAACCCGCCCTCATGAACAGACGAGTACCTAACATGAAGAATGACACCAGACCCACACCCATGAGAGCCACACAAGATGGCACCATCACACTTCCACGTAGAAAACAGACTCATACCCCCTCAGAAGATGAGACACGACCACGGACCAGAAGCCGCACTGCAGCTGCATCACTACCCACTTCAAACCCCTCCGAGCCATACATGAAGCAAACTGACACCCACTATGAAGATGCAGCACGACCACGAACTCAAAGCCAAACAGCAAGATCAGAGCTCACCAGCTCAAATCCCCCAGCAACTAAGACTAACCTGAGCACAACCAAGCCCCCACCTGAACAGAACACGCCTCCAGCCAATCAGAACACGGCCAACCCCCCAACCAATCAGAACACAGCCAAACCCCCTACCAATGAGAACACACCCCCACCCAATCAGAACACAGCCAAGCCCCCACCCAGTCAAGTCACACCCCCACTAGCAGTTAAAAGGAAGAAGCAGCTGCAAGCTCTCATCACTCTGAGAAGCACAGAGCCGAAGACAGAAGCCTGAAGATGATGAATGAGACTTCATCAAAACGTTGCCTAGATACTGCCAATCTTACGCGGGAGAAAACCCAAATAACCAAAGATCCATACACACACACACACACACACACACAAGCCTGATGATGGCAGATGAGATTCTGCTGAAACGTCGCTACAACTTTAAAAGCACAACTATTATGACGTGGGAAAATACCCAAGCAAAGCCGAATGCCATACATGTAAGTACCCGCGAAAACTTAAGAATGAAAATATATATATATTTATATCTCTATGTGGAGAAATGAATATGAAAAACAAAGAGGAGATAATTGAGCCGTACCTCAGTGATAATATTTTGATTATAAAAATATTATACTGTTAAATCTGAATCAAGAATATATTTAGATGGTTATTAAAGCTGTATCCCTGCTCCTGGGATAAGGAAGAGAGCCAATTAGCCAAATGACAAGAACGCCTGGGCCCAGTGAGTTAAGACTAGGGCCTGCAGCAGCCCTTCTGCACAGGCTGAAACTAGGCCTGGGTGAGTTGCTGCGCTGCTGGAGAGAAGCTGTGGGGTTGAGCCAACGATTATATTAATTAAATACAAGCCAAAAATTAAGAGAGAGCTAAGATAACGCCAGGCGGGGCCTGTAACCTTGTGAAAGTCCACTCACAGCCTCAATTAAATAGAAACAAAATGGCGCGTGCCACGAGGGAGCCTCCAAAATGGCGGCCACTATAGCTGTGCGCCTTTCAGGCGCGCGTTTCCCCGCCTGGCAAGCAAGAAAAGAACTCAGTTTACAGCAGTAGTTGGAAAAGGAAAGCAAAGGCTTTCTCCTTGTAACAGAAAAAAACGGTGTTCGAGGATATGGGGGGGGGGGAATCGCAGTACGGCTCCCGGAGCAAGTAAAAGCAAGCCGCTTAAAAACAGAGCGAAAAAGGCAAGCGACAGCGATTAAGGGCAGAGAGAGAGAATTCAGGCTATGGGAGGTAGTGCGAGGATCGCTACTGCCCCTCCCTTCGCCTCCCCTGGGGGCGAAAACTGCACTTCCCCTTAATGGCAATAATGCCAAATCAAGCAATTGTGCAGGGCTAAGGAGAGAAAACGAATCAAACCTGGAGGTAAAGCTGATCTAGAGCTGAATAGATTAGAAAATTTCCTGCTTCAGCCAAGGAGCAACGAACAGAACAGCCTGTCTCTCACGAGGCTGAGCAAAAACTGGGGAACGCCCGGGAAGAGTCACATGAAGGAGGAGGGGCGTTCTTCAATTCAAGCTCAGCCTAAGCAAGCAGAGACTGAAGCACCTCCCATCACTGGATGCTCCGAGCAGCTCATAGGAGAAATGACTCTTGTTAATTTATTCTGTAGGTTTGCATAATTTGTTGCTTATGCAAGGTGATTTAATTCATACTTCAAACACTCCCAAAGTTGTTTAACTACATTCCTAGCAATCTGATGTGATCGCACATAATTTTGGCACTGAGAATGAATGAACAAACCATTAAGAGAAGAGGGGGAGGTCCAGAAAAGATTACTCTGTTTTAGGAAGCTTATTTTTAGGAAAGAAGAAAGAAAGGCAGAGAAACTCAAAAAAGTCCTCTCCTGATTTTGTTTAGTATTAAATGTAGGTAGAGGGAAATTTCGACACTTATAAGATTCTATTATTATACACTATAACAATAAAAGGCTGTCACAAAAAGAAATAGAAGAAGCTACTTTAAAAATGCTGTCTGCATTATTTCAAGATACCTCTCTTGGATCAAAGATGATGTTATCTATTCTAAAGTCACCATGGATCAAAGTAATTTCATTATCATCATCAGGTAAATTGCTCATTAACCATTCGGATAATTCGGTCATAACTGGAATGTGGATATGAGTGGCTGCCTGATATTGCCTCATCCAAGTTGATACCTAAAAGCAAACCATAATCAAAATTAGTCTGAAGCGAGTGAAAGAGACCTTGATTTTTGAGAAGAACCCTTGGAATATCACATTCACTAAACTGTCTTTTAAACAATTTCCAGTTATTTTAATTGCTATTATTGGTGTGCTGCCATTTTTATGTTTTCATCTCTGTTGGAATTACTTTCTGTTCCTCGCTACAGCCAATATACCAGTGATGGAGAACCTTTTCAGCACCAAGTGCCCAAACCGGAACGTGTGTGCATTCACATGCATGTGCGTATGCCGAAAATGCCAGAACCCCGAAGACCAGCTGCCTGTTTTGGGGGCATTTTTGATAATTTTGGGGACATTTTTCAGCCATTTTCAGACCATTTTCCAGCCTGAAAAATGGCCTGGAAAAAGGCCTTAAAACAGCCCAAAAAGTGGCCTGTTTTTGGCCATTTTAAAGCTGTTTTCTGGTATTCCAGTGCCCGCAAAGACCAGCTGACTGGCACACATGTGCACACCAGAAACCAGAAGAGCAGCTGGTGACAGCAGCTTGCCATAGGTTCACCATCACAGCTGTACAAACAAAAATCAATAATCACTTCCTTAGCATTTCACCTTTTGGGCTGTTTTTCCTAACCACTGTACTAATGTAATTATTGTGAGAAGTTAGTAAAATGCTTCACAACACTGAACATCATCCAATATTTCATATCTCCTTAAATGCTGATAACTTTATTTAAGACCACAAAGTTTAAAGCATCAAAATTTTCAATCTGTAAATAGCAAGTGTCTCTGTACTTTTCAATTACTTATTTTTCACTAAGAAAATCATAAGAGTAGACAGAATGAATGAATAGAATGAATATAACTTTATTACGGTCTTAAACCAGCAATATTTACAATATACAAGAGTAGACAGAATGGGAAAGGATTTATGAAATATTTACCTGCCTCTTACAGTAACCTGTTCCTCGTCCATAGTCCTGGAGGCCTAATGAATTAACATTGAAGGAGTGCAGCTTTGCAAGAGTTTCTACTATTGCTATATACAAAGCAGATCTTTCTGCTGGGCCTACTTCAGGTAATGTGATATCTCGGAAGATGCGACCCTGAGACATAATTGAAATCATAAGGAAATAGGAGAAAAAAATAGCATTGAAATATAAAAGGACTTGGTTCCACTATCTTTGTCTAATTATTTGAAATACCAGAATTAAATTCAAACTTGCTGACCCATGAGGAGATTTCATTTTACTTAAAGGGGCGTGAAATCTTCCTTCCTTCCTTCCTTTCTGATATTTATCTGCCTATCTAATCTTAGGTGGCTCATAATGATATTCAAGGAAACCTGCATAAATATAACTGTGTTAATAACAATGTATTAAATACATTATTGATATAATACTGTGTTTCTTAGAAAATAAGGTAGGGCCTTATTTTCTTTTGACCTCCCCCCCAAAATGGCTAGGCCGTCTTTTCAAGGGGTGTCCTACTTCCCCCCCATGCCTTGCCTGACCGCTGGGCCACTTCTTTCGTGGCCAAAATGAGCAAACGATATGCCTTGTCTGGCTCCCTGCCAGGCAGGCACTGAAGCTCCACCACTGCTGCTGGGGACAGGGAGAGGGAAAGGGAGAGAGATCCAATCTAACCTTGGAGGGCTGGCAGTAATGTTCTCTCTCTCTCTCTCCCCCCCCACCACACACACACCTCACTCACACACCCCCACACCCTTCAAGGCAGCCACATTACTTCACCTGTTTTCCAGCTTCATTCTCGGTGGGGGGGGGGTGAGAGAGGGAGAGCTGCTGCTTCCGTTTTTGGCTGCACCCAAGGAAAGCAGCAGAAGTCTTTCTTTCCCCCAAACTCCTCCAGAAATGAGTCTTTGGGACCCTGCAAGGCATCCTGCTCCAAGAGGCTGAGCCATTATGACAAGTCTCACTAAGATTTATTTCTAGCGGAGTTTGGGGAAAAGAAAGAAGGACTTCTGCTGCTTCTGCTGCTTTCCTTGCATGAAGCCAAAAGCAGAAGCAGCAGGGACCCTGGGGAAATCCCAAAAAAATCTGCAGGAAAAATCCCCCCGCCTCATTTTCCTACTGATCGATTGTTTTTTATTTGGAATCGCAGGATAACATCTTTCTCTCTCCCCCTGAGAATGGAGCTGGAAAGCAGGTTAGTAAAGGAATGTGGCTGCCTTGGAGGTTGTGCGTGTGTGTGTGTGTCAGGGAGTTCGGTGTGTGTGTGTGTGTGTGTGTGTGTGTGTGTGTCGGGAGAGAGGGAGAAAGGGAGAGAGAGGGAGGGAGGGAGGGAGAGAGAGAGAGAGATAAGGTATCCTGCGATCCCAAATAAAGAATGATCAATCGGTAGGAAGATGAGGTGGGGGATTTTCCTGAAGATTTGGGGGGGGGGGGGTTCCCAGGGTCTCTGCTGCTTCTGCTTTTGGCTTCCTGCAAGGAAAGCAGCAAAAGGAGCAGAAGTCTTTGTCTCCCCCAAACTCTGTCAGAAATGAGTTTTTGTGAGACTTGTAACGCCAGTGCAGCCTCTTGGAGCAGGATGCCTTGCAGAGTCCCAAAGACTCATTTCTGGTGGAGTTTGGGGGAGAGAAAGAAAGACTTCTGCTGCTTTCCTTGTGTGCAGCCAAAAGCAGAGGAAGAAAGAAGTGGAAAGAAGTGGCCCGTTGACCAAGCAAGGGGCATGGGCTGCGAAAGAAGCGGCTCGGTGGCCAGGCGAGGTGCGTGGGGCGAGTGGGGCAAGTTCCTCCCTCCGCCCTTTCCCCTCTTCCCTCACTACCTCGAATTGTCTGCAATGCAAGCAACATGAGAAACCAGTCGCACATGTGCTTAAATAGAGCCAAATTTGGGGGACAGGACTTAATTTTACCGCATGCATACAAAACAGTGTTTGGCTTTCTTTTTGGGGTGGGTCGTGTTTTATGAGAAACATGGTAACAATGTATTAAATACATTATTGATATAATTAATTAATTACCAATATATTAAATGTATATGCTACCTGATTCCCAGCAATTCATCAGAGCCACATGTATCCTAATCACAACATCATACTCATTCTACATTTATATTTACAAGGTTCGCTTCTATCCTAGACCAATGCCAGGATGATAAGGCAAATATTCACAGCCCTCCAAAAGGCTGATAAAGTGGAGAGGGCCTCTAAATTCAGGGAGAATTGTGTTTCAGAGGGGTAGAAATATCATGTCTTGGATGTATTTCCAAGGTCCCACAAGATAACAAAATTTAGGGAAGAAATCTCCAATGTACGCTGACTGGGTGGAAAAATGATAACCTTGAATAGTATCCAGAAACAACTGAATAGCAGTATAACACAACAAAAGATGTACCTTTGACACTAAGGAGTTATTTTTTGCAAATTATCCTTTCCCATTTTAGCCCTACGCATCTCAAATATTCTTATGGAGAGTCCCACAATCTTTCACAGGAAATCATTTTTATTGTAAAGTTTGAGGTATGTACTTCATTCATTTATTAACTGACTCACTCATTAACTGTGTATGGCTACTCATTTCAGCAAGTGATCTGGGTCGTGAATCAATTTAAAATAAGTTAAAAACAGAGGCTTCTGGTTGGGCGCTGCATTGATGCGGAGCTGAGGAGTGGATTGCTGCTCTGAAAGGATCCGATTTTCACTGTTTGGTGGCTTCCAGGAGCATGATGGACCTCGGAGGGGTAGACAGATGAAAGGGGAAGACCTGGAGATCTCAGGTAGGTGCCGCGATCCCAGAGACTACAAGTGAACCCCCCGAAAACCAACATCAGAAGAGGGAGATCGTACAGATCGGAACCAAAGACGTGGCAGCCCAGCAGCTTAAAGAAGAAGGAAGGAAGCAAAGAGTGGAGAACAGCAAATTGAGTAGTGGAAAGGTGAAATTAAAGAAGATTTCCAGAATGCTGATTTATACTACAAAGGGAAATTGAAAATTGAAACTCCAAACCGAACAGTGTAGCGAAGCGGCAGAAACATCGGAAGGAGTACTAACTAAAGAAACAGCAGTAATTCGTGCTGATTAATGGAGTGCTGTAAACGGAGGAGCTGAAGGGTGAGACAACATTTACTTTTATCTTGGGAGTTGAAAAGTGGGTTGTATAATTATATTTTTTGGTGTTTGATGTTTGAGAACTGTGGGAAGAAAGAGAAAGAGAAAGTAACAGTGTCCAAGTGAGAGAGAGAGAGATCGGAAGAACAGCTGAGAGTAAAAACTTGAAAGGAGAACACTTCAAAAGATTTAAGGAAAGGATTGAGGAAAAAAACTTTATAATTGCAATATTTGTCTGGTAACTGTGATAACGAAAAAAGGAAGAAATAAGATAACTAAGATTTATAAGTGGAACTGGGACCGTGTGGAGAAAAAGAATAAAGGAGCAAGAAGAAGTCAAAATAGAAAGGAGAAACAAAATGTGGAAGTGACTGCAAATTTAAAGAGGACATTTTGAACTCAAACTAAGAACTGTAATAAGGTATTTATCAAAAAAAAAAGATGATGATCATGGACATCACTCAACTGGTCAAACATAGATATAACTAAATAATATTGGTAAAACATAATCTTAATAGATATATATGTGTTAGAATATTGAGCTAAGAATACTGGTTAATAATTTTTGAATAACTGAACAATTGAAAGTGTGTTGTATAAATATAGAACTCAGACCTTTAAATATTAATCATATAGTAAGAAACTTAGATATTTTTATTCTGAGATAAGCATATAATTAAGAACTAAAGAAATAGATTGATATTTATACATAGATAAAAAATTAATTACTTTAATGAATTGGCTGCTTTAAATTAATTAATTAAGCATATAAGACTGTTGATTCTGTGAGTAAATATATTTGTATTTGATTAATATTGAATTCTCTTAAGTATTGTAATAGTTGAATAAGTTCAATAAGAAAAAATAGAAATAAGAGCTGATTGTGAATTTCCATAATAGAGTTTCGGTAATTAATAATATAATAATATATGTATTAATATTACTATTGAATTGAAAAGGAGAGGAAAATAGTGCTCTACTAGGGATAGTTGATAGTAGATTGGAAAGATCTGCTACAGATAGTTAAAATGGTGACAACATCAATCACAAATGTAAAATCAGGAAAGAAAACTACAACAACAATGTCTTCACCTATGTGGCAGAGATCTATAGATGCAATGCTATTGGCAGAAAAAACTAGTTCAGCTCAAAGCCTGCAGACAGTACAGACAATGCTCACTATGATGCAGGAAATGATGACAAAAACCCACGAATTGATAGCGAGGAACCATGAAAACATGAAAACAGAGATGAGAACTGAAATAGGAGAAGTGAAAAATGAAATTTGAATAGTAAGATTGGAAGAAGTGATAAAAAATGAATAGAAATTAAATTTAGTAGAGGCAAGAATGGAGATAGTGGAGAGAAATTAGAGGATTCAGAACAAAATTGGAAAGAGCTTTACTGCGAACTCCGGGATTCAATGGTACACATGGAATTAGAGAAAGCATCATTTCATCTTAGGTTCCAAAAGGTGGTGGAAGAACAAAGCTGAATACCATACAAATAAATACCCGTGAAAACTTAAGAATATATATATTCTTATTGATTTGTCTGTTTTAAATGTATGTCAAATAAATGTTTTTTCTAGAATAAAAAAATTTAAAAAGTTAAAAACAATTTCCATCATAAGCAGAAAAATGAAAATATACAGCAACCAAAGAATATTTTCCCTCTAAATTCCCCCAACACAAAAAAATCCCAAGCATGTTTTACTTCTATGCAGTCTAGCTGTAAATCATTGAGCCACATCCCATATCAGTATTACCCTCTGATATGAAGAAAAACAATATCCTTAGCCACACCAAATTTGCCTGTGTTGATTTAGAGGGCGCCGCTTCCTATGATGCTATAGTAACTACAGGGATCTCTGGATTCTGATCTAAAAATGTGAACAGTCAAGTCAATGTGGCTGCAAGGAGGATACTAACCTTAATATGTTGCATCATATAAAATTCTGTTCCAATCACTGAAACATCACTGCAATATAAAAGAGGTTCAGGAACCGGAAACCCAGCTGCAAACAAAGCTTTCTGAATCCAATATTCTCTGTCAATCTGAATAGGATATTGTAGGACATACAAAAATACGGACATTAAGAATATGAATAGGAGATTATATGATCCACAGAAGTTTGGTTTTTTTGCATTCAAATTGGTAGAATTGAAGAATTTAATGAAGTTCTTGATTCTTATACATTTCAGCAAATGATAGTGTATCACTTCATAAGCATAATAATTTCTATAAATACAATGGAGCTCATATCCGTTTTAAAACTCTATTTTTATATCATGAAAAATAATATCAAATAGACTTCCTACTTACTAGAATATGAGCATCAACAGAGTACAGAGATAAATTGCCTCCCCTGGGGTGTTTTGGGGATCCTGAATAGTTTTTCAGCTTCATTGGTCTTGAATAAGTAAATCAAAATTGATCCTAAAATTTGTGATTTATAATTTAGAATGAAAATCATGCTGGAGGGAGGGGACATGGAAAGAAACAACTTTCAGCTGGAGGTTTAAAAAATGTAGTGTTACAGTAGTTTTACTCACTACTGAATCATAGTATCTCCCAAGATGGCTTGCCAAACTGCCAAAGCATTCCCAAGACAAACCCAAAGAGCAATAATACTTAATTATAAGAGTTTAGTACCTTGTGAGCCTGAGGTAGGAGAGGGCCATAAGGCTTCTTTCTAAGTACGTAGGTTTTAAGTCCTTTCTTCAAGTAAAAGGTGGGGTTTGATTGTCCAGAGCTACATGAACATAGTGAGATGTAACAGATAATAAGTCAAAGAACACTAATGAGTAGATACGAAGCTATTATTTACATCAGTGGCTCTTAAATTAGACTTTTCCAAGCCTCGAATAAGTTATTAGCTCCACAAAAAAGGCCTCAGATTCTCCCAATTTACAGAAAAGTCTCAACAGCAGCAGTCCCTCAACTCACAAACAAATTGTTCCATTACCCGCAGGATATTCCAAAATTAACCTCAGTTTAAGAACCACCGGCTTCTATCGGCTTCTTCCACCGGCTTGAGTTCCTCAAGCCCAGTACTGTTCAAGCAGACTTTGAATAATTTCCCAGAAGTATTTTTTAGATCTGATGATGTTAAGAATTGAATGAGCAGTCCTCTGCATATTAATACACATTCAACGATAGAACTATGGCCTCTTCCTCTAATTATGCTTAAATCACATTTTATTTCATTTGGATGATTTTCCAAATGGAAAGGTCCACCTCCCAGCCAGTATGGACAATGATAAGGGATCAAAGGAGGAGTAGGGTTTCCTCAGTTTGCACCAATGAGAAAAAACAATTTCAAAACAAAACTCCCACACTAAGTTGTTTATTTTATCAGTGTGATGAAAGATGAAAGTGTGATGAAGCATTATTTCTCATAGATTAAAAGAAGATCAAAATTTCTGATTATATTAAATATGCCTTTCACATTTCCTTTCACCATCAGTTTCTTTTTCTCCTCTCCATGCTTCTCCCTGCATCCACCAAAAACTTTGTTTATATGTAATATCAATTTCTTAAGACAATACTTCATATTGATGAAGTAGATTGGGATTCATTAAATCAAATCACATAATTAATACATTAGCCATTGCAATGCCATAAAACTCACTATTGTTTTTACTCTTCAAACCAACAAAAATATTTCAGAAGTCTCCTGATAGAATGCATCAAATCCAGACTGACTAAACTGTGTATAGTTGTTCCCTCCTTTCTACACATCAGCCCCTTCATTTGACATCTCCAGATGGTCATCCTAGTCAAATATGGCAAGCCTTGTATTTCCTCTTCCACAACTTGATTATGCCATGTGAAGAAAGTTAGCATCCACCCAGCCACTCCTAGAAGAATGAAATATTTAGGAAATATTAAAAAGGCAGAATATTATATTTCCTTGGATGAGAAAAGGAGAAACATGCTCTTGGAAAGCAGCCCCATATTTGTTAATAATCCCAGAAAGGTAAACTCTTTTCCAACAGTGACCACAACATGATTGACTTTTGTCTCAACATACGTCCACACAAAAATCATCACAACGACGAATCCCCAATTATAACTTCAAAAAAGGCAACTATGATCTTATAAACAACGATCTCTCATCCCTTGATTGGCAATTTCTATTCTCTGGATGCAATACTGTAGAAGACCATTACAACATATTTTTACTTGAAGTCAAAAGAGTCATCAAACTATATGTACCATTAACAACTCCCAAAACCAGAAAAAAACAAATTACCCAAAACAATAAGGAAGCTTCAATCCAAAAAGAAATCACTTTGGCGGAAAAACAAATCTGGTCACGTTGCCAATTTCAAAAGCTGATACAAAAATTTATGCCACTAGATAACAACTGAATGCACCAATTATCACATTAAACAAGAAGAAAACCTTCTACGCACCAATTCCACCCGTGCTTTCTACAATTTTATAAACAACAAACTAAAAGACTCAAGGTCCATCCCATCCCTAAAAAGACCTAATGGTAAAGACTGCAACAATGACACTATTAAAGCCAACCTCTTTAACACATTCTTTGGCTCAATATTTGTAAAGAGCAATAGATCATGCCCAGTAATTCCTAGTCAAACCACAGACAACTACAATGATCTAATACATATCAATTTTACAGAAGACATTGTTGAAAAAGCACTACGCAATCTAAAACCATCTCTATCTATTGGACCTGATGGAATATGTGCCTACTTCTTAAAAAAGCTACCCACTGCCATAGCTGAACCTCTAAGCATAATCTTTGAAAAATCTTTCAAGACCAGCTCCTTGCCAAAACTATGGTCACAAGCCACGGTCATCCCCATCTTTAAAAAGAAAGACCTCAGCCTAGTTGAAAATTACAGACCAATCTCTTTATGCTGCATCACCTGTAAAGTCATGGAATCAATTATTAACCAATCCATCATCCCCCACTTAGAAACAAACAACCTACTCTCTAATAAATGATTTGGTTTTAGGAAAAAACTATCATGTAATCTGCAACTCTTACACTGCAAAAACATATGGACTACACAACTCGATCAGGGCAAAGCAATAGACGCAATCTACATAGAATTCTGTAAAGCTTTGATTCAGTGGTGTACGACAAACTACTCCTAAAACTAAAATCTTATAGTATCTCTGGACAACTGCATTACTGGATAGAAGCATTCCTGTCAAACAGACAACAAATGGTCAAAATTGGGAGTGTCCTATCAAATTCTGTACATGTCAATAGTGGTGTCCCCCAAGGCAGTGTTCTAGGACCAACTCTCTTCATACTGTACATAAATGATCTCTGTGATCATATTAAGAGCAATTGCGTTCTCTTCGCTGATGATGTAAAGCTGTTCAATACCACAGACAATACTGCTACCCTTCAAAAACATCTTGGCTATCAGAATGGTCAAACAAATGGCAACTTCAAATCTCAACAAATAAATGCTCTGTCCGACATATTGGCAAAAAAAATCAGAAAATAAAATAGAGGCTGAATAGTCAAGACCTTGTTGATGATCCAAACTCCGTCAAGGATCTTGGAGTACTCATCTCAAATGACCTAAGTGCTAGAACCCACTGTAACGACATAGCCAAAAAGGTGTTAAGAGTTGTTAACCTAATCTTATGTAGCTTTTTCTCTGGTAATATTACACTATTAACTGGAGCATACAAAACATTTGCTAGACCAATACTCGAATACAGCTCATCAGTCTGGAACCCATATCATGTATCTGATATAAACACAGTTGAGAAAGTCCAGAAATATTTCACAAGAAGAGTTCTCCACTCCTCTACTCATTGCAGAATACCTTATGCCACCAGACTCGAAATTCTAGACCTTGAAAACCTAGAACTACGCCGCCTTCAGTCCGATCTAAGTATGGCATATAAAATCATACATTGCAATGTCCTACCTGTCAATGAATACTTCAGCTTCAACCATAACAACACTAGCGCAAACAATAGATACAAATTCAAGGTTAATCGCACCAAACTTGATTGCAGGAAATACGACTTCAGCAACAGAGTGGTCAATGTCTGGAATACTCTACCTGACTCTGTGGCTCCTTCCCCAAACCCCAAAAACTTTAACCTTAGACTGTCTACTACTACCATTTCAGCACAATCTAAGATTTTTTGAATTACTAATTCCTCTGAAGGTATGTTATTTTGTTTCCAACATTGTGCAAATTCTATCCTCGCTGCTGTCAATATATGTAGTAGAATATATTTAATCTTTTTATTAAATTTTCCTTTAATTATTCCCAACAAGAACAATTCCAGTTTAAACTCTATCTGATCTACTATTTCTTGTATCCAATTCCATATTTTGGTCCAGTACTTTTGGGCTTCTGGGCATAACCACCACATGCGATAGAACATCTTGGATTCATATTAGAGTACGTTTTGGGCAATCTCATTGGTGTCAAATGCCAACAGTAAAACATCTTGTATATGTTTTCTTTATAAGCTAGTTAATGTGTAATTTTTATTCCCAATTTTTTCCTAATCTTCTAAGTCTATATTATGTCCAATATTTTTTGCCCATGTTATCATGCAACCTTTTACTACCTCCTCTTCCAAAGCAAATTTTAATAAATAATTATACATCCTTGTTATGAATTTCTCCTCAGGGTCTACTAAAATTTTATCTAGTTGTTGTAATCAGTATAAAATCCAAATTCTTCTACATCTTTTTTGTATCTGGTTTGCAGCTGGAGATATGGCCACCAACCTATGATTACACCTTGCTCTTTTAAAGCCTGATTTGTTTTTAATTTTCCCTGATTATCTAATATTTTTTTGTATCTGACCATTTTGCCTAAATCCGATGTATTGGGGTAGATCATCGCTTCCACGCTGGGTAGCCAGGCCAGTATTTTCATATGATGTTTTTTCCTAATTTTATTCCAAATCTGTATCAGACAATCCCTCATATTGTGGGGGATATCCGTAAAAATATATGTTTCTTACTTTTCTTTTCCCATAGGAAGCCATACCAACCCATCTGTAAAACATGACCCTCCTGGGTTAAAATCCTTTTGTTGTTCAAATTGACGCATTCCTTGATCCATATCAACGCTGCAGCATTATAATAGAATTCCCACTCTGGAAGTCCAAAGCTACCTCTACTTCTACTATCCTGTAACGCTATTAATTTTATTTGAGCTTTCTTACCTGACCGTATGAATTTTAAAGTGATTTTATTCAGTTCCGTAAAAAAATTATTATCTAATTTTATGGGGATTGTTTGAAATAAGTAAAGTAATTTGGGTAGAATATTCATTTTAACCATGGCAATTCTTCCTAATAAAGATAATTGTAATTTCCCCCATGATTCCAAATCTTTATTTGTTGCAATTTCATATAGTTATTTTCTTTTATCGATGAACATCTCACAGTTAGCCATATTCCTAAATATTTTACTTTCTTTGTAATTTGCAGTCTCATTACCCTTTCTTTTCTGTTTTTCTGTTAATTTTTTAGTTAATATTTTAACTAAATATTTTAACTTTTCTCTATTAATTTTGTGACCTGATACTTCTCCATATTTTTCTAATTCTCATGTTAAAATATTTCCTGCCTCCTTTGGGTCTTTTATGAATACCAGGTCATCTGCAAAAGCTTGAATTTTATATTCTTCTTTTTTTATTTTAGTTCCTTTTATTTTTGGATTTTGTCTAATTTGAATTAATAATATTTCTAGCATCAGGATAAAACATAGAGGTGACAATGGATATCCTTGCCTTATCCCTTTCGTTATTTTAAATGTCTCTGTATTCTCCCCATTTAGTAATATACTCACCTTTTGAGTGGAATATATCGCCTCTATCATTTTCTTGAATTTGTCTCCTAAATTCATATCTTTAATTTGTTGTATCATAAACTGCCAATTAAGATTATCAAAAGCCTTTTGTGCACCCAGAAAAACTAGAGCAGCTCGCTTTTCTGGAAAGGTCTTATAATATTCCAATATGTTTATTGCTGTTCTTGTATTATTCCTAATTTGTCTTGTTGGCAGAAATACATTTTGGTCTGAATATATATAGATTGATTTAATAATTTTTTCAGCCTTTCTGCTACTATAGTTGTGAATATTTTGTAGTCGGCATTCAACAATGATATTGGCCTGTAATTTTGAATTTGTTTGTTGTCTCTACCCTCTTTTGATATTAAAGAGATATATGCCTTCCTCCAAGATTCTGGTAATCTTGCTTCCATCAATACATCATTGTATACTTCCAGTATTAATGGTTCTATCAGTTCACCCATAGTTTTGTATATTTCCCCTGGGAGCCCATCTAGGTTTTTTTTTAATGTATTGGCCACATAGTGCTTTGTCTTCCCATGTCTCCATTCTGTTCTTTATTTGGTCTTTTTTGTAAGCCAGATTGGTCTCTCCAGTAATCAGTAAGCCTTCCTGGTATACTAACTTTAGTGCATCTTCTTCATTGTCCTTCAGATATTCTTCCAATGCCCATTTTTCCTTTTTCAGCCATTTGATGTACTGCAACATTCCACACCTACCTCTTTTCTTTGGAAGGTAGATTCTGTCAATGTCATTGCAAGGAAGAAGGACATGATTCATTGTCATTATTTTTTCAGGTCTTCCTATCCATTGCTTTTAGTTCTGTTTGAGTTCAGTCCAATATTCTAATGTATGTAAGGAATGGAATTGCTCAGGTGTTGATTGCCTTGATTGTATTTAGTCCATTAAGTTTGGACTTTAAGATCTTCTTCACTCTCTTGATGTATTCACATTTAGCTTCTTCTTGACTTTAGTGTGCTTGATGTTGTCAGCTTGAAGGATACCGAAAACTCTTTATGTTATTTCACAGAATATTTTGATTCCTTCAGTTTTCACTATTTTTCCCTGTTTGATAGTAAATGTGGCACATTTGTCCACTGCAAACTCCATGGCAACATTTTGGCTGTATATATGAATAGTGTTGAGCAATTATTCTATTTCTGATGGTGTCATTTTACCAACCTCAGAAGGATGGAAAGTTGAGTCAACATTTAGCTGGGGAGGATTGAACTGTTGGCAGTCGGCAGAGTTAGCCTGTAATACTGCGTTCTATCACTGCACCACCATGGTTCTTCAACCTTTAAAATAGTTAAAATTTTGGACTAGATCTGGAAAGACTTGAGTAAGTCTAAAGCCATTTTCAACCATAAAAAAATCTCAGACTTGGAGTTATTAATTCTTAGCCCAAACTACTTCACAAGGATTGTTGCTACAATGAAAATGGAACAGAACTGCTTACTTGACACGCTGAACTCCAGAAAGAAACTGGAGTGGGTGGGCTGTAAATCTCATAATTTTATTCCCAAAATAGTTAACTTCTAAATTAATACAAGCAGTCCAGATTTCAAAATAATCTTCTGCATAATGAGATATCAGCAGCAAAAAAAAATAATTCAAAGATAGAAAAAGAAACAAGATGTTCAGTTATGTGTGTGCGCGTGGTGTCTTTCTCTGCACTACATTTCATGAATGTCATGAAAGAATCTCAGACACTGATAACAAATTTGCCATTTCAGTAAGATATTTCTGGAACTTGAATTAATAGGGTTAGGAATTTTGTAAGTCCAGATATCCTTGTGGGAGACTAGAGACAACCTTGAAGCCCCATCAGCACCGGACAGAATTTGACTGGAAGACTGCCCTATCTTCCTCAACTATCCCCCCACTTTAAAACAATGAATACTTAGGCCGCGTGTTCCCCTTTATTCCTATGGCCATCCAACGGCTGTAAATGAAGAAATATGGGGAAGGTTAAACATGTGTATTCCGTTCGCGGACATTTCCTTCGGAGCCTTGACTGTGTAAAGACAGATCAATCCTGCTGCTATGACTTTTTCTCAAAAAAAGCAAGCATACTTGGCAAGTGAGATCGGGAGGAATTGCCTCCTTCTGATTCCCCAGCCGCGTCAGGGGATCCTTACCTGTATTGCCTGATCGTGAGAACTTCGCAAGGCTCCACGGGAAACCCAGGCAGGGAGCGGCAAAGGTATTCCTCCAAAGCTCCCTGGCAAAATTGGTGCTGTTCCCGCACTTCAGTAGTATCAGGTTCACTTGCCATTTTTGCGGAGGTGAATTCGCTTCAGACCACCGGCTGATCTTTTCGCAGAACGAAGGTTACAGGAAGTGAAGCCTACCCAGTCTACGCCCAGGACGTAATACCGTCCACTTTTGGAGGCGGGCAGAGATCCCGTAGTGTGGCGAATGGCTTTCTACGCAATTTACATTCTCCTCTTAGAAGTAACATCGCACTTTCTGAAAAAAAAGATTACTTATAGCTGCGATCCTAATCAGACTTTCGAAGATTCACCTGATGTGAATAGACTGCAGTTCCTTGGGTACATATTGCTGGATGAGGGATGTGGTAGGTCAACGAACGTAGACTTGTTACGAAAGGCAGTTCTGTTAAAAACTAAGAGAGAAAGTAGACTTATCCTGAATTGCGCTTGCTTAGCCATCTAAAAGGTGCCATAATTTGAAAGCATATGATACCATTCCAGAAATCTTTTAACGCCGGAACAATGTTTGCCGGAAGTGGGTTGCGGCAGGGATGGCTTTTGCTGCTACCCCAGGAAGCGTTGGAGACATAGACGTGTCTCTATTGATGGGATTGACTGGTTTGAACTGAGTTGAGTGGCTGGACACCGGTGGAAATCTACACGTCTAAGGTTTTTTTTGGTGAAAGAGGGTGCTGTTTTAGAACTGCAGGCCCCGATGATGGCCACCTCGGGGAACCAGGTAGAACAGCTACGGCGGCGCATCCAAGAACTGGAGGAAGAGCTGGTCCGAGAGAGAGGAGGCAGTCGGGGCCTACGAGCACGGATCGCGGAGATGAGCCCCGAGGTGACGGACTCCAATCCGTACAGGTGAGTGGTCCGTACACCATCGTTCTTAATCATAGAACAAATGTTTGCAGCCACATTGCAGTTCACATTCGTTCTTTGAAGCAGCAATACTACGTGACAGGAAGTGTCTCGGAGTCTGCTGTTCGAGATTGTGATGGGCTTTGTGAACCAATACTCCCTGAATCATAAGGCTGGAATGTACCTCGGAGGTTTTCTAGTCAAAGTCCCTGATCAAGGCAGGAGCCTTATAAAATCCCAGTCAAATGATTGCCCAGTCTATTTTTGAAAATTTCCAGTATAGAGCACCCACAGTCCCAGGACACAAGCAATTCCATTAATTGCTCTCATGTTAGAAATTTTTTTCTTACTTCTAGGTTGACAAATTTTGACAAATTTCACTTGTTGCTTCCTGGCCTGCCTCCTGGTGACCTTGAGAATAAGCCAATCTTCTCTTTGTGATAACCGCTCAAGTATTGGAAGACAGTTATCATGATCCTTCTCTTCAATAGATTAGGCATACCTAGCTCCCTCAACCATTTATATATGATTTAGTCTCCAGACCTTTGATCATCTCTGTTGCTTTTCCCTGCACACTTTCCAAGGTCTCAATATTTTTTTCTGTATCATGGTGACCAGAACTGGGCACAGTATTCCAAGTGTAGTCTCACCAATGCAATGTAAAGCAGTACTATCATTTCTCATTGCCACTATTCCTTTATTGATGTAGCCTGGGACTTCACTGACTTTTTTGGCAGTTGCAAAACATTGCTGGCTTAAGTGTGGTCTACAAGGATACCTAGATCTCTTTTACAATTATGATTATTGAGCCAGGTACCACCTATTCTATACCTATGCATTTGATTTTTCTTGCTTAAGGAAACCCCAACTGCATCTTGTTTGATAGGACCCAATGCTCAAGTCTGTCAAGATTTTCTGGATCTTGAGCCTATCTTCCAAAATATTAATTATTCCCTCCAGCATGGTAGTGTCTGCAAATCTTAGGACTTCCTCTTCTATCCCCTCTTCTAGATTTATGGATATATTGAAGAATACTGAGAACTTTGAAATACCCCACTGCATACATCTCTCCGTGTAGATGTAGTTCCATTGAGGACTATCTGCTATGGGTCAGCCAATCAAAAATCCATCTAGTCATATCTATCCCATATTGCTCTTAACAAGAAGAAATCTACTTTATCAAATGTCTTGCTGAAGTCTAAGAATGCCGGTATTATGTCCACAGCATTTTGCTGGTTCCCTAATTTAGTTACTTTATCCAAAAAAGGGAATAAAGTTTGTTTGACATGATTTGTTTTTAACAAGCCATGCTTGCAAAGCAACATAAATTTTTGACCTGGCACTACATAATGGAGATCAGTGCCTCATATAAGTATATATAATCTTGAATGTTCAGAACAAATGCATTTCATTTGTCAAAGCCAGAGCAAGAAAAGAATCATGGAAATTATTGTGGATTATCTGAAACTACTGAGTTATAGTAGGGGTGTGATTCCAACATGACAATGAGCAGAGATTTATCTGAAAAAAATATTATAAAATCTTAAGATGAGTAGAACATATGGAACTCCCTGATTGATGTATCTGTCTGTCCTGTAGTGAATTAATTTTTTTTTAACAAACTGCTTTTCTTTCTGCTTCTCTTTTCTCTACTGTAGTCGCCTGATGGCACTGAAAAGAATGGGAATTGTGAAAGATTATGAGGTAGGCTAATGGGGTTTTTTTGTAAATAACTTGCCACAAAGTTTTAACTTGATAGGGCAAAGCATTCAAAACTTTGGTTTCTTGTCCTAGAAAATTCGTTCATTTGCTGTGGCGATAGTGGGTGTTGGTGGAATTGGCAGTGTGACTGCTGAAATGCTGACAAGATGTGGCATTGGTAAGGTAATAGTCATTCCTTCATTATAATTACACTGCATTCTTAGTCCTGCATAAAAATATTGGAAGTCTAAGGAGAAATAAATTCTCATTTGTTGAGAGTGTATTCATAGTGTACATTGTAATGCTTGAGTGACAGACATATAAATGATGGCCCATGATGGATTTCTTCAGCTTGCATTTTATAGAATGTGTGCCTTCTCACATTTACATTTTCAGTAATACTACTGCCCTATTTTTGTTCAAAAGACATTATTTTATTATTTAACTTACACTCTTGTTCAATATATTCTAAGAAGCTTACATTAAAAACAATGAGCTAGATGGTTTTTGAACAGCAACTCTGGCTTTCTGGAATTAATTTGAACTTGTTTTACCTTATTGTCCCAGTCTCCTATTGTCCCAGAGTCTGGGTCAAGGTATCTACCATCTCACTTGCCCAGGCTGGTGTGAGGACTTAAAAGGTGTGTAATCATCATATGATGATATTTCATCCAGATCAATGACTGGCCTTTCCCTCCAGTTTTATGCATATTATAAATAACTTGGGGAAGAGGATCAAGCCTGCCAGCATCTCTTACTAGACATGACTTGGATCACACGTAAAAGCAGAATGACAGAAAACAAGTACTCTATACCCCAATCCTTGCAGTCAGTCAGACAGAATAATAATACTACCAATTTAACAATTATTGATAAAAAAACAAAATGTTTGGAGAGTGGATATTGCAATATCTGGAAACAGGAGAAGAGAAGAGAAACAACTGAAAATAACAGAATGAAAATACATGCAAATAGAAGTAGAACAACGAATGTAAGTATCAATGGTAATAGGTGCTTAGGCACAATTCCAAGACATATGGAGCACCACTTAAACATCATTTGCATTGACAAAATCACTATCAGTCAAAAGGCAGCTTTACTCGGAACAGCTTACATCCTGGAACACCTTTTAACACCATCAAACAACATTGATCTATTCCCGTCCTTGGGAAGGAATTGATAAGTGGACAAAATGCAAAATCCAGTCTAAAATATTTGGCTGATCATGCTTCTAAGATCATGCTCGTGCTCTATAAGGTTTAACAGGAGGAGAACTATACTTCTCCCATTTAGTTCTTGATTATCCACCAGAATAATCAATGTCCACATACTTTAGAAGAGACATGTAAGATACATATTTACTCATTGTAAGATACATGTTGTAAGATATGTACTCCTAGAAGTTTATAACATGACTGAATATTTGAAAGAAATTAGAGTCAAGTTCCATTTTAAAATTACAAACTTACAAATGGTTTAGAAAAGTTGGTACTTGTCTATTTGATATTCATTAATCACTTAACCTGAAAGCACTCTTCCTTGGACATTGATAATTGAATAAGTATATTGCTTAAAGATTGCTTATCTGTTGCAAGTATTTTGAATACTTGCTGGATCTAACATACTTTGTTAAATCCAAGAATCAATTTTGGATTAGTTGAAAAAATTGTGGCAGAGTTGATCCACTTGTGTGGATATAGAACAGCGTTTTTCATGAAAGCCTTAACTAAATTAACTAATATTAACTAAATTTACTTAGTCTTTATAATTATGTGCCTTTTGCCATTTCAGCTTGAGTTTCAAGGTACCTTTGGCCTACTGTTTTGTTTATTTTTTCAGCTGAACTACAACCTAGGAAGAAAAGAGATAGATTACTTACATGATAATTCTTAGAACAATCCTCCCTAATTCAAATTAATTATATCCTCTTTAAAAAGGAGCTAATTTGAAGTTATATAGACCATTATATAGACCATTCCAAAGCACACATACATTAGTATAAGTATACAGTATATTATATAATCAGGACTTAGTCTTATTCAGAAATGAATGGAAACCATATATGTATTATTGTATTTTTTTTAGCTGCTCTTGTTTGATTATGATAAGGTGGAACTGGCGAATATGAATAGGCTCTTTTTTCAACCCCAACAAGCTGGACTGAGCAAAGTGAAAGCAGCAGAACACACTTTAAGGTATATGATGGGGAAAACATGGGGATATGTCACACCAACTTTAAAAAACATTACCAGAAAGATAGAACATTGCATTTGATGTGAAAGTTGTTTAAGAAATATTTATGTGAACATCATAAATAGCATTTTCTTTTTAAAGGAATATTAATCCTGATGTCTGCTTTGAAGTACATAATTACAACATCACTACTGTGGCCAACTTTCAGCACTTTATGAATAGGATCAGGTAAAAATAGTTTTTAGAAGTGTATTTACAGTATGCATAATAGCACTGTTTAACTTGGTTTTATTAATACTGTAGTAATGGTGGATTAGAAGAAGGAAAACCTGTGGATCTTCTACTAGGCTGTGTAGATAACTTTGAAGCTCGTATGGCAATTAACACTGTAAGTAAATAATTAAATATTCAGAACTCTCATTAATGAATCTTAATTGATGTTTGCTTATTCTTATCCAATACAAATTGAGTGCCTGTTATTAGAAAATTGTGATAGCATGAAAAATCCAGAGCATCAAGCATTATAATCCTGAATTGATTGAGTTCTTTGTGTGGAC